TTAGGGCTGTTGTGCATAGGGTCGCTATGAGTCGGAAATGAGTCGACGGCACATAACAACAACAACAACATTAATTGCATGAGAGGGGACTGTCCATCTTTTTCTCACAGAGCATCTTGTGGATTCGAATCCTGTACCTTTAGGTTGGCAGTCCAATTTTTTACCCACTAGGCCACCAGAGCTCCCTATGGAAAGCAAGAGGGAATGACCAAATCCCATACTCCTGCTCTAGAGTCAGAAAGTAGAAGTTTCTCCAACCCTAGACTCTTCAGTGACATGCTGTTGTTGTTGTTGTTATGTGCCGTCGAGTCGCTTGCGACTCATAGCGACCCTATGTACAGCCAGCTGTACACAGGGTTTTCAGAGGCCTGCTATTTCAGAAGTGGATGGCCAATCCTTCTTCCTAGTCTGTCTTAATCAGAATGTGCAGATTTAGAGAAGTATCTGATAAGCATTTTACAGAAAAAGTTCATAGCACTTACAATAAAGGAGTGGGACCAGAAGGGAACAATGCTGCTTTCCAGGAGAAAATCAATCCTAGCACGTACACCTGGCCCAGAGTCCCACATCACATGCACATATTTTTATGATTCCTGGTCCAACCAGAAGGTAGCCATGTCCCTCCCAACACAACTGTTCAACCCTGGGACTGAGCAGGATTCCACCAAGTTCCACTTAATTAAAGCGTTTACATTTTATCCCTCTACACTTATTATCAGGAGCTCTAGTGGCCTAGTGGCAAGAAGCTGCACTGCAATCCTGAAGGAATATGGTTTGAAGCCACCAGCTTGCTCCACGGGAGAATAGGCAATATCTGCCCTTGCGATTAACTGCCTTTGAAAACCTGCTGAGGGTCAGCTATGGGTTGGTTCTGACTCTACAGTACACAACAACACTTATTGTATTCCAGTTGAAGGTACCTTCCTCTCTGCCCAACAGCAGCCTTGCCTAGTGATGCACCGTCCTTGGGAGAAAAGCAGCCCAGCGGGTGCTTTGGGCGTGGAGCTGGAAGCACACCTCTCCTTCCAGCAGCACCAGTGACTGATTCCGAGAGCTTTGTGCTGCATCAATACAGTGATAACCACTTTCCAGAGGGCTTCTTACTGGTTTGATGCAGATCATTACCCTCCCTTTCCTGAAGGGCTCAGCATCCTGAGATCTATTTAAGGAGCCCTGGTGGTACAACACTTAAGCACTCAACTGCTCACTGAGAAGATGAAGGTTCAAACCCCCCCTGATGCTCCATGGCAGAAAGGACTGGCAACCCACTTCTGAAGTGATTGCAGTTAAGAAAACCCAGCATGGCTGTTCTACTCCAACACATATGGTTACTGAGAGTCAGAATCAACACGGGATCACACACCAAGGTCTACTGACTGTTATAAGCAATAGTAAGGAATTGTTAGTCTGGCTAACCACATAGGCTCTGGTCTCAAAGTACCTTCCCTCAAAGCTCCATTCTTCTATCCACTACCAGGGTGATCCTGGACATGTGTTCTTGTCTAGATCACAAGGTATTAGTGCATCTGTTGGTGGGATGAGGAACATGACTCACAGGGAGCTCAGGGGCTGTGTGCCTGGCACAGTTAGCACACAGCTGTTATTGTTGTTGTTAGGTGCTGTCAAGTCAAATAGCAACCCTATGGACAAAAGATCTGAACCCTGTTCTATTCTGAGCCATCCTCACACTTTCTGACACACAAAAGCCCATTGCAACAGTCACCGTGTTCATCCACATGGTCAAGGGTCTTCTCCTCCTTTGCCAACCCTCCACCCTTCCCAGCATCATGTCCTTTTCCAAGCGATAGCCTCTCCTAGTAACATGTCCAAAGTATGTGAGATGAAGTCTCATCATTCCTGCCTCCAAAGAACACTCTGGCTGCATCCTCTCTAAGACATACCTGTTCGTTCACCTGGTCATACATGGAATGTTCAGTACTCTTGTCCAACACCAAAGCTCAAAGGCGTCAACTCTTTTTCTGTCATCCTTATTCATTGTCCAGCTCTCAGATGCATAGCAAGTAATCGGAAAGACCGTGGCCTCAACTGACATCATAATTTGGAGAATTATGATCAATTATTTGGAGAGGTCCCTAACTGCAGATTTTCCCAGTGCAATGTGTCTCCTTATTTCCTGACTGCTGGTACCACAGGTATTCATTGTGGATCCAAGCAAGATGAAGTGGTTGACAGTTTCAATCTCGTCTCCATCCATCATGATGCAGCTTATTGGTCCAGTGGTAAGAATCTTTGTTTTCTTGATATTGAGATGCAACCCATACTGAAGGCTGTGTTCCTTGATCTTCTGCAGCAAGTGCTTCAAGTTCTCCTCTACTTCTACCAAAACTGACATAGTCTCTAGAGAGTTGTGCTTCTAATCCAAAAGCCTTGAGTCTGCAGAATTTCAAATCCATGAGTGGCTTCAAGAGAGAAAGATGGACAGACAGTCGCCTCCTGCTGTGCTTTACAGCCTCAAAAACCCACTGAGTGTCACAATGAGCGAGAACTGACTCACAGTCACGGGGCAGGGGGTCTGGGGTATTTTTAGCCTCGTGAATACAGACTATTAATCTGTGTGTTATCGCAACTCCTCGCCCATCTATCCCACAGTGTCAGTGGATGCCTTTCTACTTAGGGCTCAAAAAATAGAACGAAAAGGTCTCATCTCTTCCATCTACACAGTTTGCAATCTACACCCTACTTTGCCATCATCCATAAGAGTCTCAAGAAGAAAAACCAATTACGTAACTGTGAATACTCCGTTAAGCACACGAATAAACTTGTGTTTATTCCTGCCAAGGTTTTTCCCATCTGAACGCTTAACTGCTCAAGCTTAAAGCCTAGAATCACACTTGATTCCTGGTGTTTTGTTGAGCCACACCTAACACCACACTGTACATTCCAACAGGTGGCGCTGCAAGCTCACGTTCCAAAACAGACCCTGAGCCTGAGCCCCTTTCCTCTGCCCTTGCCCACTGCCAACAGCTTAGGCGTTCGCTCTCACCGGGGCCTCCCACAGACCTAATTCACCACCTAGCTGCTATTCTTATAGGCAGAGTGATTTTAAGGAAAGGTGGCTGCACATTAGTCATGCTCTTGCTGCTGTACTGGGTGATCTGAGAGTCAGAATATTAAAACAGCCCAGATGTCTTCCGTCGGCAGGCCAGAATCAAGGCGCTGACAGAGCTGCCCTCCTTTCTGAAGCTCCAGAAGAGGAGTCCACTTTCTTACCTTTATCACCTTCAAGAGTGCCTCCCCACAAGCCCTTGGCACTGTGGCCCCTTCCTCCTTCCACCCTCAAACCTAGCCGCGTGGCAGTCTTCTGACCCCGCAGCATCTATCGTCATGCCTCCTGATGAGGCACTTTCTCACTTCTTCCACTTTTAAGCAAGCCCCAACCAGTGAGAAGAATCTAGCTAAGAAGATGGTTTCTAGGCCAAGGTAGTTTCTCAAGGGTGACTGAGTTTAAAGTCTCCTTGTAAATGTGCTGCTTTTCCAGAATAATCCAGGATAATCTCCCAATCTGAAAGCAACTGCAACTGCTTAAGAATGTCAGTCCCATTCACCTGCAACCTCACCTCACCACGAATTTAACCTATTTACCATTCCTGGGACCAGTATGTGGCCATCTTTTGGGGGAATTATTCTGCTCACCAACCTTAAAACTAGGGATGATAGAAAAAGAATTGATGCCTTTGAGCTGTGGTGCTGGAAAAGAGTACCGAATATACCATGGACTGCTAGGAGAACAAACAAGTTCATCCTGGAGAGGGTTAAGCCAGGCTGCTCCTTAGAGTCAAGGATTCTGAAGCTCTGTCTGACATACTTTGGACATGCTGCAAGGTGAGGAACATCGTTGCATGTCCTTGGAGAGGGACGCCATGCTTGGAAAGTTGAGGGACAGCACAAGAGAGGAAGACCCTGAAGATGGACTGATTCAGTGACTGGGGTAATGAGTCAGACAAGGATGGCATAGGGATGTGTCAGAGACAAGGATGAGACAGGCTGGCAAAGGATAGAGCAGGCGTCAGGACTATTGTACACAGGGTTGCTATGGGTTGCAAGTGACTCGATGGCACATAACAGCAACAACAACAAACAACAACCCTTAAAACTGCAGTAGTTCCTCCTTTTAGGCAATAAAGTCTCATCTCCTACCAGGGCCAAAGAGGCTGCCATGAGGGGATCTCCTGCACCATGACCATCTCAGATGTCTTCCAATATCACACCTTCCACCCTGATGTTCTCCAGGTTTCTGGAACACTTGAAGCTCAATTCACCTGAGTCCCTTTGCCTTGGCCTGGTAGACTCTTGTCTTGGCTGAATTCTTCTCACTATCAGGGCTCAGAACAGCATCTCCTCCTCAGACTCTGCCCTCCCTCTCATACCCAGGCTCTACCTCATCACCCTTTTTATTTCTTTTGAAGCATTTACCAAGACTTAAAATCATTTTGTTATGTATTTTTCTCTCTTCACTGGCTTCCTAAAATATAGTTTCTACATGGTTTTTCAATGTTTCTTTGGCTCACAGGCCAGTCTATCCCCTTCTTTAGGAGCAGATGAAGTTCACACCCTGGATCTCCCTTCTGGGGCTCTCAAACACTGGGGCCACTGTGCACTTCTCAGGCTCAGGCTAAGACCCTAACAACCAGGAGCAGCCTCCATGTCTCAGAGGGCTCCAAGTATTCAGATGAGCTAATCCATAGGCAAGCTCGAGTAGCCAACCCCGAGGCAGCCCACAGTATTTAGCTAGCCCCACACTACGTGCCACGCCTCAGCCCCTTCCTATGGCTCCTTTGCTATGACCCTGTCCCAAGTGCAGCCCAGCTTGGCCTTCTCTCGTGTGGAGTTGCAAGCATGGAATCTGCGAAGGTGCTGCAATGTTTGAAACTCCACTGTTAACCGAAAGTTTGGCAGTGCAAACCCCCCAGTGGCTCCATGGAGAGAAAGACCTGGGCGATCTGCTCCTATAAAGATTTTAACCAAGAAATCCCTGTGGGGCACAGAGACCTGTCACATGGATGGCTTGGACATGATGCGATATGGCTCAATAATACCCAACACCACAATCAGGCCCCACAGACAATAGAGACAGGCTTTTACCACCATAAGGGCCTATAACCATAAGTTTCATAATCATAAAGCATTCTCCTCTCCACATTGCACGCTCTGTGAGGCAGGGCTCTTACTGTCTTGTTCTCTCCCGTCTGCTAGCAGTGTTGCATGGCCAGTGCTGAACAGACAGTCAATACATCTTCCTGCTAAACTGTCTTCAGGGCACGACTGTAGGTGGGGACCCTGCTGAGCAACTGAGATCAACAGAACTATGAACTGATGCTGTTGAAATGAGATGGGAATCCCAAGATGTAATTTCTCTGACACAGAACTCCTTGATCCCCATGATGCTGCCACATTCCATCACTCATCTCCCAAAGATCTTCTCTTAAGTGGGTTGCTAGGTGGCTGGAGGGGGATCCCCGATAGCCTGTGGCAGCTAAGGCAGGTCTCGGAGACCCTTCTTGTTTCTATCTCCTGTCTGAGCTGGTGCAAATAAATACTCACAGTACGTGTAAACAAGTTTAGACTATGGATGATTGATGATTCCCACTAAAAATTCAAATGCGGTAAATGCACTAAGCATAGTCTATAAACAAAATTTGCAACAAAGCTTTACGTAATACAGGAAAAAATAAAGCACATAATCATGGATGTAAGAGATTCAATATGACGGCATTAAAAATGTATATCTAAAACCAACCTCATTTTGGTTTAGTATTTTCCGGTATTCTGTGCTCCGCGCAAGAATGGTGACTCGAATTTTTCCATCCTGCAATCAAAAGGAAGAGGCAAAGTAATGTCGTGGACGCCTGCAACAGCGGAAGCACATTATAACCTAAAATGTGATTTTCATAAAGCGATGAAACTCACTAAGGATACATTCAGGAAACTGCTGTTTGAAATGCTGCTTCCTTTACAATTCTCCCAAGACATAAAACTACATCCACTTTGGCTGCAGAAGACAAAACTCATTACTGCTCCAGCTTGTTTGGCTGGGATGGTGAACTTTTTGGCAGGTGGTAACCTGGGGGAGGATGGCAATGAGGGCCTGAGGAAGGGGAAGGAAAATCAGCTGGTTTTCCCCAGCTTCTCATTCACAGGCCACTGCAATGTGGTGGAAGATGACTGCAGGCCAGCAAGCACAGGGACCAATGCTCTCTGTTTATTGATCCTCTACAGAGCTCTTGCTGATTTTCACTTGGGGTGAAAAGTTCTAGGGTTCTCTCCCCTAGAACTCACCAAGCATTCATTACCTTGGGTCCCTCTTGAGTGATGGTCAATCTGTGGAGCACATGCTGGGAAAATGCTCGGAAGAGTCCAGTGTTTTGACAGCCTGTTATCTAGAATGAAAGCAACCAGATGGATTACAGCTAATACATTTGCATTGCTATTTAAGGTATTCTTTAATTACATGTAAGTGTTATCTTAAAATATGTGAAGCATTAACTCCATAAATATGATTGTTAACAGACAAAATGCTTACCAGAGGGGTATTGTAGAACAGCCCATATCTCATGCGAGGAAGTAATGAAAACACAGCTTCTTTAAAACATACCTGGGAATGCAGACATTTTACAGGATCAGAAAATACACTATGGACCCTTGACAGCAAAAAGTATTACAAAAGATGACCTCGGTGAAACTAGACATTCATTGCACAGAAATATTCTGAATAGCAAATCTTCTCACTCCAGGGTCTATTCCAAATTCACTATTTGGGAAGAGTTATGAACAACAGATTTTACAAGCTTTAACAACAAGGATGCTCCCTACACAAGGGGAAACCTGAGATCCAGAAATCAATGGCAATGGCTCGTGACTCGTACTGAATCTTTCCTTCCTGGATGAGTCACATGCATGTCACAGTGCTGAGGGATATTCAGTAAAGTCTGTAGTTCAGTACCCTTTTGTAATCGTAGGTTTTCAAATGTATGACATCATAATCAGTAAAGGCTTTCCACGTGTCGGAGAAGAGGTCACCATAACCGTAGGAGCTCTGCAGACAGAAACAAAGACGAAATGAGGGAAATGAAAGGAGACAACATGGCTTGTCAAAGATACAAAACAATGCCTGGATTCGCTCACAGGTGTTAAAAACTAATTATCCAGCACAAGCTCATAAACTCATACAAAAAATGTGCTCCATCTTAGACAGCATCATGAGTCTGAGCAAGAGTCTAATCTGGTAAAATATCATCAGAAAAAATCTTCTCAGTTATAAGCTTGCTATTGTTATTAAGTGTCATCCAGGTGAGTCCAACTCACAGTAATCTTATGTAAATAGAAAAGTCTCAATGGCCCACAACCTCCTAACTTTAAACCAGCCCAGTGCTGCAGCTACTATGTCAACTGATGTCACTGAAGGGCTTCCTCCTTCCCCCTAACCCTCTACCAAGCATTTGTAAATCTACTGCAAAGACCTCTTTAAAGCGTTGAAATGCAAAGACCTTAGCCTTCAAAGCAACATCTTTGTTTGTTACCATTTTAAAGAAATCTTTTGTGATAGAAATGCCCAACGTACTTGCCAAGTGACTTCCTGACTGTCATTTCCATAGGCACTGACTGTGGATTCAGGTAAAATAAATTTTTTTAACAGCAGTATTTTCACCATTTATAATGTTGCTGTTTACTGATCTAGCTGTAAGGACTTTTCCTTTATGTTGACATGTAATCCATATGGAAGGCTGCAGTCTTTGAGTTTCAACCATGAGTGCTTCAAATACTCACTTTTCACAACCAAGGTTGTGTTAACTGCACATCCAAGGTTGTTAATGAGTCTTTCTCCAATCTTTTTTTTTTCTTTTCACTTCTTGTTGATCTTCTCTGGATCGTTCCAATTTTAGTATATGTGCTGCTGAAGCGAGCACTCCAATCTTTTTTTTAATTCATTCGCTGTTGCACCTTTTCCTCCAACCCCCTCCCCTAATCCACTGTACAATGCACCTTTTCCAGATTGTTGCCATCTTCCTCCAATCTTGATGCCACATTCTCCTTCACACAGTCCAGCTTCTCAGATTATTTGCTCAGCATAAAGACTGAATAAGTAAAATGATAGGATACAGCTCTGATGTACACTATTCTGATTTTAAACCATTCACACTCTTCCTTGTTATACAGAAAGCTCCTGGTGTGGGTATAGGATCCAGAAGAGAACAAGTAAGTGTTCTAGAAGCTCTACTCTTTACAATGTTAGCCATCACTTGTTATGAACCACACAGTCAATAAAACAAATTATATGCAGCAATTTTACTTGTATGTGATACTAATGATATTGCTGTATAATTTTGACATTCTGTTGGATCACCTTTCTTTGGAATAGGAACAAATATGAATCTTTTCCAGTTAGGTGCCGAAGGTAGCTGTATTACAAATGTCATGGTATAGCTGAGTTACACTTCAAGTATTTGCATCCACTTGTTGAAATGTCTCAAGTGGCACAGTCAATTCATGGAGTCCTTTTTTTTTATTAAATTTTATTAGTTTTAATGAACATTTACAGAGATTTTGGGTTCTCATTAATTCATTGTTGCACTGTTTTCTCTACCCTCCTACCCAGTTCGTTCTTCTCTTCTTCCCCCCCCATGTCTGTTTTAATTGTCCAATTGCCACAGTGCTTGTCAAAGCCAGTTCTGATTAATCTCCTTTGTCAGTGTGTCCTTTGCCATTCCCTATCACTCCTTCCTGAGAGAGACTTCACCCTGATTCATAAGGAAAAGGGGACGGTGTATTCTCTTAGCTACTTCCTGCTGAAAAGGGACGTTGTGGGTTTCAGGGTGAAGATCTTCTCTCACTACTCTAAAGGGCCCCTTTGGCAGTAGAAAACACATAGACTATTATGGAGTCTTTTTTAACTTTTGCTAATGCCTACAGTGTCATTTTCCAGTGTTGCATTAAAGTGTGGAGAACTTATAAATGTAATGTTTTCTTTTTCTACCCCAACCCATTTTATTTTCACATTTTAGAAAGGCATGTCTCATCATTTTTCACTGTGAATTCTCTGTTCTATCACAGGATCACATGACACACATAAGTGCTCATACATACATGTTCACTTCATAACGTCTAAATTTTAGCTTTCAAGATATAATGTACAAATAATATTAAATTATCTCCTCATTGACTCCTGAGTAGCATATATGATAATTCTACATTAACCTTAATGAAAATAGAAAAAATAATAACATTTTGTTATTGCCAATGTACCAGGCACTATTCTAGATAATCAATATTATTTGCTCATTACACCATCCCACAATTCTAATAAGGTTGTGTTGTTATGTGCCGTCGAGTCGCTTGCGACTCATAGCAACCCTATGTACAACAGCCCTAAACTCCTCTCTGTCCTGTGCCAATCGCACTGTCTCTGACACTCCCATCCCAATTATCCCAGTCACTGAATCAATCCACCTCATAGAGGGCCTTCCTCTCCTGCGCTGTCCCTCCACCCTCCCAAGCATGATGTCCCTCTCCAAGGACCTGTCTCTCCTCACAACATGTCCAAAGTATGTTAGATGGAGCCTCAGAATCCTTGCCTCCAAGGAGCCACCTGGTTTAACCCTTTCCAGGACAAATCTGTTTGTTTTCCTAGCAGTCCATGGTATTCTCAATACTCTTCTCCAGTACCATAGCTCAAAGGCATCAATTCTCCTTCTATCCTCCTTGGTCATTGTCCAACTCTCTGATAAGGTAGTTAGTATTATTATTCCCATTTTACAGTTGAGAAAACTATGCCACAAATTTAAATAATTTGCCTAAATTATAGGGCTGGTGAATTGCAAAGCAGGACTAAATCCAACCTGTTTGATTCAGACCTTGTCTAGGCTTGTAACCTCTACTCAGCAGTTGCCTTTTGATGGGAACTCATTCTTTCTAGCACATTTATGAAATGTATTTCCTCCTTGAAAAGAATAAAGTAATTGTAAGCTCCTTCCATTAAAGGAAGGGGCTAAGTTAATTTTAAAATGATATCATTTAGATTTAAAAATTCAGCCATTCAAAGTAAGAAATGAGTATCCTAGAATTACACTCAGAGTGTAACACTAGGGTACACATTATGCTCATGTGTTTAACCATTTATTCACATTGTTGAAAATCCAAGATTTATTCCTAAAGAAAGGGAAAAGACAGCTTCCCAGACATTCAGATATCAACAAAAAGTCACAAAGTTCAACAATGATTTAAAATCAAGAGACTGGTCTTGCATAATATACCCAGCACCATTTTTTTTAAGCACCATTATTTTTTTTCTCTGTTAAACCAATAAAAATTAAACAAATTAAGTACATGGTGATTTATTTTTTGCTGATTTTTACAGATGATCCTTTAATGTTTAATCTGTCCACAAAAACTTTTTTTTTCCCATTTTCAATGGCTGGACTTTTAGGTCCTTGAAATCCTGAATTCTCATGATCAACACTTGGCATCCTTGTGCTTTTGAGGTTACATCATCTTCCGCCTGGTCTGTACTCCAGAACTTCATTTTTCCACTCATCATCAAAGGCCTAGGTGCCACTGTCATTCATGCTGATGAACTCGACGTCTTCATCTCCAGTCCTCTTGTGCTTTGACTTCTTCATGACATGAGCTTGTGGATATGATGATCAACAGCCATTTTTCTAATCCAGTGTCAGAATCTCTCAAAGTTCCTCTATTTCCTTAATTCCTCCTGGAGCCCTACTAGTTTGAGAAGAGGCCTGGAAAACCTTTGGAGGTTTATCTCCTACTTTAAAATAGGTTATGGCTGATGAAGAACAAAATGAATGTCCATTTAGATCCATTGAAAGCTGACCAAGGTTTCCTTGTAGTTACTGCATACTGTTTTGCATATTTAACATCATTTGGTCCATGGCCTAAAAAAGGCTGACATCTGTATGAGTCAAGGAATTTTTATCATCATGCTATCTTCTTTGATTATGACTCTTCCTCTACCATCAGAGATGTTGTGCATGTCTCTTCCAAAGGGTTCAGAAGAGCTTCTCATCAGCTGTCACGTATTTTCTTGGTGTGCCATAGAAGAAGCAAATTAGGGTCCACCTCAAAGCTGAACACTGCGGCTTTCCTCTTGGTGGCCATGGAGGTGGGAGGCCTGGAAAACTACACAACACAGCTGCATCCCAGCCCTGCCTCCCCGCTACCACCTCTTCTCTCTAGCTGCTAAGGTAGCACTTGTCAAGAAAATGACTGCTCATTTTTATAGCATTTTTTGTATCAGATTTTGAGAATCCCAATTTGTACACTGTAGAATTATTTCAAAGTTACTGAGACCTGTTAGATGTCAGGGAAAACCACCTTTGCCTAGAAGTGTCTCCCAGGCCCTTCTAGCAAAGGCAGCCCTCAATACCGTCTAGAAGGAAACTGTCCTACTTTGGCTTAATAAATACAGGACAATTAAAAGAAATTATTCTGGACATTTTCTGGATATAAAATACTTAAAAAACAAGACAGATTTGAAATTAAAATTAAATAATAAAATATAGTCATACTGATTCAGTAATAAATGCATCCCCCAGATTAAAATTTTCTATCACAAGAGAAGTGGACCTCTGAGTCAGAGACCTGAGAGTTAGAAATTCCACTTAGAGGAATCCATCCCACAGACACCGGAGGAAAGTGAGTGAGTAAAGATGTATGTTTACGGCATTCACCACAGCCATTTAATAAAGAGCAAGAGAGGAGAAACAAATTAAATATGTTCAGAATGGGGACAAAAGGTACACATAGATACCAATGCATCAAATGTGCATCACGGCCACTGACCCAAACATCACACAACCCAGCAATGTCAGTCCACGTGGGCTGACTTGAAAAATGCCTAGGATGTAACAGAAACTTAATAATAGGAGAACAAATCTAAAAATAGGGAGCTCTGGTAACCTAGTGCTATGGTATTGGGCTGCCAACCCAAAGGCACACAGTTTGAATCCCCCAGTTGTTCTACATGAAAAAGATAGGCAAACTCCTCTTGTGCAATTAACTGCCTCTGAACCCACTGGAGGGTCAGGTATGAGTCGATTCCAACTCTACAGGATAACAACCGCCACAAGGATAAAAAGAGTTCTGGTTGTCTCATGATAAGGAGCTGCACAGCTAACCTGAAGGCATGAGGTTCAAATCCACCATGTGCTTTGTGAAAGAAAAATGGGCAGTTTTTCCCATGCAAATTACAGCGTCTAAAAACCTGCGGGAGAGCCAGCTATGGGTTGGTTCCAACTCTAAGACACACAACAAAAACAAAGACAAAAATGTATCTTTATCCCCAAAATGAATACTCCAAAATAATCTTTAACCTTAAACTAAAAATATCTGAAAATATTTTAAAACCAAACAATACTGTATGAGATCATTATTGTAGAAATAGAAAGATTATTAGTAAAATGTGTTATGCGGATCCAAGAGGGAGAGAGTAGGAGCAGAGGGGTGAGGATAGGCAGGGGAAAAATCGTATTGTCACACAATTTGATGGATCAAGAACAGAGTGGGTAAAGGAAATGGAAAAGACCGGAAGGGGATCTGGAAAGACAAATCTTACACACGATTTTCTTCCTCTGAAAACCCACTGGAGGGTCAGCTATGAGTTGGTTCAGACTCAAAAGCACACAACAACAAATAACAACAATAAATTACAAGGAGGAGACTGCTCATCTTCCTCTCTCAAGCAGTTTGTGAATTAGAACCTTTGGGCTTGCAGCACAACTCTTTCTCACTATGCCACAGATATATATGGGGGGAAGGGGGAGGGAGAGTGGAGAGGGGAGGGAATGAGGAGGGGAGAACGAGGGGAAGAGGGAAAAGGAGGTGGTAAGGAGATGGTAAAAGGAAGGGGTAAGGGGAGGGGAGAGGGAGAGGGAGAACTTCCTGGTAGAAGCTGTCTGTACAATCCCATCGGGATTTCATCAAGCCTAAAAGGCAGCCACTGTCATGTGCCTGTCCTCAAAGACCCCTCCTCCCAATCTCCCGAATGCTGTACAGTAACACCATCCACTGAGTGGGCATGAGATTGAGCCAAGCGAAGGGCACACAGTGTTGCTAGTCCACAGCCGTCTCATAAACAGTACCCTCATCTGCCTATGTTCTTTAGGTCTAAACTGTGGCACAACTTGGCAGGGCTCCTGTGCGGAGAGCCCACTGAGTACCTAGCAAAGCACTGGGCAACTCTGGAGAGGATGTACAAGCCTGGAGTATAAGGACGTTCACTCGCCTGTTGATGGAGGCCCATGGTGGGTTGGCCATCCTAACATCGCCAGCCCAGTTAACTGAGGACCCAGGCCCTTTGAGGTGGCCAAGGCACAGCAAGGAGCCCACAGATGCAGGCCCAGCGTCACTTAGTCCACATGAGGAAGACTTAAAATCATGCACCGCCGTACTGGGAAGCTCTAAACTGTCTAAGAAACGTCCCACCAACATAAGAGGTTCTGCAGGGGAATGTACAGGAGCAGGCCACCAGGCCTTTCCTCCATGGAGTCATGGGATGAATTCAAATTCCCACCTTTCGATCAGTCAGTAGTTGAGCATAAGCCATTTACCATATATTTAACATATGCATTTATGCATGTGCTAAAAATGTAATTTGAATGGTGACCTGAAATACACTATACAGTCAGGCACGAAGAAATTCCAATTGCAGTCGAGTCATCTCCAGTTCCTGGGAGCCCCTTGCATACTGGGAGTGTAGAAATTTACCCTACAGGTGGGCACTCTCTGAGGTGCCTCAGGGTGACTGAAATCTCCAAAATTCAGTTCTCAGTAAGTTGGCTGCTTGCACGAACCGGGAACTGCATGGAGCTTTGTGAGGTGTGGTGAGCACACATGTCTGTTCAGACCAGGACCAGCCCTCTGAGCTGCACAACCTCAGAACCTGCCACTCCAAGCCTTCCCCCACCCCCACCTCGGCTGTAAGTCCACAGAGGGGCACAGGGTGTAAAAGGGCAGGGCCGGGCTGGGAAGCACTTCTCTTACAGAAAAACTGTTGCTCCCTTGGCCCAGCAACAACCCAAAAAATCAAACTGTGTTAGCAAAACAGGAACACAAGAGGGAAATGTAAACAAACACGCAAAGAAGGAAGTCACAGGGAAGCATGAACACGCCAAAAATCTAGAACTCATTCTCCCCTAACTTCAGGTCCATTTAAAAGGCTCCTGGAGCAACGATGCTGACAATCTTTCTTTGCAGCTCTGTTCTGAGCCCCAGCTCTGAGGGAAAGCATTTCTGCAGGAGAATGGCATCTTTAGCTTACTGTCTATCTCAGTCCTCTGGACATAATGATTTAATGAGCTCACCACATATGAAGATGCTTAATGGGAAAACTACATCTGGTCTGGGAAACTCCATGCCTGGGCTGTGCTGAGTGCTCCAAGTGCAGTGACTGGGCTTGGTGTCTCCTGCAGGCATTGGGTGAAGCTGTTTCATGAGCTACTGCTCCCCACAGGACAGAAGGTTCTTAGGTCAAGACAGCTCCTGCATCATCTAAAGTGGATTCCATCGTCTCGCATCTGAGCCAAGCAGTGCTAAAAAGATGCTCCCAGAAGACATGCCCAACGCTATCCTGCTGCCAAGCCACATTTTTACAACTGTTGTTTTGTGTTGTCGAGTAGGAATCTACCCATAGCTGACCCTCTAGTGGGTTTTCAGAGACAGTAATTTGGACAGGAGGAAACTGTTCTGAAAGACTCACATCAAAGCAGGGCCTCTGAATGTCCTGTGTGAATTACAGTCTTTAATTACACCTTAGATGATCTCTCAGTAAAATGTCCAATTTTTGATGCTGAGACAAGTTCTCTAGTGAACTGGAGACCACCCATCTTCCTACGCACCAGCCTAGTTCTCGTCAGCAATACTGTATTCACTGTGTGCCAGGCACATGACACAGCTCATCCTCAAAATGACAGTGAGGCTGATGATGCCTTGATGCTCCCATTTCACAGATGAGGATTCTGGGGCACACGCTGGGGTTAATTTAGGGCACAGAAATGGAGTCATGGACAGAAATGGACCAAGACAATACTAAAAACAAATTAGCAATAAAAGCCCACCAGCTACAACTATGAGATATCATCTCACCCCAGTCAGAATAGCAAAATTTAACAGAACAGCAAGCAACAAATGCTGGCGAGGTTGTGGAAAAACTAGAACCCTTATTCACTGTTGGTGGCAGTGTAAAATGGTGCAACTACTGTGGAAGGTGGTATGGCACTTTCTCAAAAAGTTGCAAATAGAGATACAATTTGACCCAGAAATTTCACTACCGGGAATATACCCCAAAGAGACCATAATTGCCACCCAAGCATATATATGCACACCCATGTTTATCGCGGCTTTGTTCACAATAGCAAGGAGTTGGATACAACCCAGGTGTCCATCAACAAACGAATGGATAGAGAAGCTGTGGTATATTCACACAATGGAATACTATGCTGCATTGAAAAGCAAAGAACTCATGCTATATTATTCAAAATGGGTGAGCCTGGAGGACATTATGCTGAGTGAAATATCTCAGTCGCAAAAGGACAAATACTGCATGGTGCCACTGTTGTAAAATGGGACTGATATCAGGGTTGGGGTAAGACTGAGAAAAACTGGATAAATTGTGTATACTTCACTGAAACAGATGAGTGAATAATTTTAAAGTGATGTATGATAGGGTCTTATGGTTATCACAAGAGTCCACAATTAAGGTTGCATAGTGGCATGTACTTGGGGCGGTGGGGGTATGTGGGGGGATTGTCTACCAGGGAGGGAGTGTTTCTTTTACTTTTCAAAGACAGGAGCGAACTGGGAGGTGAGGGGCTAGGCGGGGAGAGAAGTGCGGCAATGAATGAATGGAAATCCAAAGCCTCTGTAAATGTTCATTAAAATTATTAAAATTGAAAAAATTCCAAAAAAACAACAACAAACAAAATGAGGTACTGAAACATCTGGAAGAACGGTCAGGTCCTTCGCCAGCTGACTTTCATCAAGTCCTGTGAACAACACCCTGAGCCTCAATTTTCCAGGAGAGCTGAGAGATTGAATAGACAATAGAGTTATACAATAGCCACAAAGAAGCACAGAGTAGATGCACAGTGTACATCAGGGCTGGGTTTCCCCCTCTTATTCCTCAAAATGTACTATTTTAAGACTTTGTGAAAGTAGGGCCTATGTCTGACTCATCTTTGTGCCCCTGGAGAATGAGGTACACAAAGTGTTACATGCAAACGCATTGAATAAATGAATGGCTAATAGCTATTAAAGAAATAATAATTTAAAAAAAAAAGCCCACCAGCTGCCTGCCAGTCAATTCCAACTCAGGCAGCCCATGTGTTACAGAGCAGGGCTCCTCCACAGGCATTCCTGTCTATAACCCTTACAGAAGTTCATCAGAGGTGGGTTCAAATGGATATAACCATTCACGGAGAACACAGATTGTGCGACTCATGGATTCAACACTTAAGCTCAAGCTAAAACACACAGCACAAGTTGGCATGAAGCAGGCAGCAATGGGAAAGCTGCTCTTAAGCAAAGGCTGACCAGGTAATGCTAGAGACCAATCTGTAAAGACAGACAAGGTCCTCAAACACGGACCACAGTGGAAAATGAGTGTCAGTCTTCATACATCTGTCAAGGGTCCCTGTGCACCAAGAGGGCAAGATGTCTCCCCCTGCTTTACTCTAACAGAACAAAGGCACACACATGTGTACACACATACACACACATGTCTGAGGAGGAGCACATGCACCTCCATCTACCCCATCCCCCGTGGACACGAGCTTGCATGTATGCATTCTGCACGTGTGTCTTAGAAATGCCTATTCCACCACACTAGCCGTACACATGCAAAGAGCAAGTCAATGACGGGGTAGAGGCAGAGGGCCCGTTGCTCACTCACCGTGTCCCACATAACAATGTACACGTCCGTACTGAAGGAGTTATTGACGTGTTGAGTGATGTATAGGTTCAGAAAATCACAGAAGTGGTGATACATATTAACACCTGATGATGGAACAAAGATGTCTGTGTTAATCAACCCCAAAGGACAGACAACTCGACCCTTTATATTTTCAACATCTATTTAGAGTTTGACAAACTTCTAGTTTCCAAATTAAAAATTATTTCTGCATAGGCAACCCTCAACTTACAGATTGGTTGGGTTCCAATGTTCACCCTGAAATTAATTTAGAAACTTAGGAATGATTTTCCCATATAAACCAAGTAGCAAATTGTCATGAAGTTCCTAGAAAAATCAAAGTAAGTTTCAAATTGAGGTAAAACAATATGCCTATTATTTACCATAATTTTTTAACTAAATAAGGTAACATTTGTTTATTGTATAAATATTTTTTAAATAAAAGAATTATGGAACTATTAACATTTTAGCATTTTTCATTCCAATCTCTCTCATCATGTAGAATTGCTATTTAGAGGACAGCATTGTGGAGAAATGTGAACAACAATCATTTAAAAGAGCTCAACGTCTCCTATTCCAACTGTTTTGGGCTCTGGAGTCAGAAGGACTGGGTTGAATAGCTCAGCTATTCAGGAACAGGTTCTCAGATGAGACTGAAAAGACCAGAGCGTCAGCTTCCTCATGAGAAATCCAGAAATACATCTTCAGTGTCCAGTCCAGGGCCTGGCACATTGTAGGCTCTTGATGAAAACCAGCCGGTCAAACATAGTGAGGGAGACTGTGGTTGAAGCTACTAGCCTATTAGCTTGTCTTCTGAAACAAACAGAACCTGTACGCTCGTGCTCTCTCACTCACTCACTTTGCCTGGAGGCCTGCAGTCATTCAACATTGAGGGAGCAAGTCTAAACAGTGTGTATTCTGGGGTACAGAGGATTAAGCACACTTAGCTACTGTCATGGATTGAACTGTGTCCCCTAAAATACACACAAGTGATGAGAGAAGGTGGACACTTAATGATCCCTCATCAACTGATCAAACAGTTGTAAGAGGAATAAAGGTAGAGTAAACCCCCTCTTAACATCATCACAGCCCTACTGGAATGCAAAACAGTGAAGCAAGGGTCTCCGTGAGGAAGGCCAGGACCCATGGAGATCTCCAGCATGCCTGGCCTGCCGATGCAGAAGGAAGCCAGAACCTTCCTCTAAAAAGAGCCCTTCCACACACTGACATAGGAGATTAATCAGAACTGGCTTTGACAAGCACTGAGGCAATTGGACAATTAAAACAGACATGGGCGGGGGGAAGAAGAACGAACTGGGGATGAGGGTGGAGAAAACAGTGCAACAATGAATGACTGAAAACCCAAAATCTCTGTAAATGTTCATTAAAACTAATAACATTTAATTTAAAAAAATAAAATAAAATAAAAAGAGCCCTTCCCTCGAGCCAGCACCCTTACTTCTAGTCTCCTAAGTTGTAGAAGAATAAATTTATTACAGCTTCTCTGTTACCGCCGCCTGAGGAATTGCAGACAGCTGCTAACTCAGGAGGTGGGGTCCAAGCTCCTGTCAGAAGGGCTGACCTGGCTGTCAGCAGCCCTACAGAAACCGAGGCACACGCGAGGGGCCAGGGTCAGAGTTGACTCCACACCAACTAGTGAAATTGGGATGAAATCCTGAAAGCTCACACGTTAATATATATTTTAAGAGAGGGGAAATGTTGACTAAAGAGAAAGTGGCCTTGTTTCATAAAGCAGAAATCACAGAAAAAGCTGACATTAACACAGTTTGTCAGAAAATTGAGAGTACAAAATAACCAGCTCTTTTCAGACTGGTATCTGATGCATGTGTGAAGAGCTCTTTTCAAACCCAGAAAAAATGTTGGCAGAGTGTATTTCAGATAAACAAGGAACACATCCTAGCCCCCAGAATGATCACATGGCACATGGCAGCCACCTTCCCGGACTCGGTAATGTTTACTGAGGACCACGGCACACAGCAACAGCATTAAGTGCTCCAGAATTCACCAACAAGAGAGAAGCAAGCCTTGTCCCATACAACCTTCACTCTCCCAAGGTAAAAAGTTAACAGGAGAGGAAAACCAAGTGACAGCTGAAGTTAGGAGGGGAAAGTAAGAGTTATGAATATAGGAAAGAAATGGCACATGTCTGCATTAGCCTTTTATCCCTACTTTGCATATTTTATTATGTGAGGATCTACGTCAATCTGATGGCTCACACATATTCCACTCTTCTCCTTGCAGATTATGGTGTTTTCTTTGCCCCTTTTTAATGTGCACATTTAAAAAATGAGTCAGGACCTCAAAGAGAACATTTTTAGCTGCTATTATTTCAAAAACCTAAACTTGTCTGATTTCTGAATCTAATACTTTGTAAAGCAAGAATTACGACTTCACAAGGCAGGATGCATTAAAAATATGATCAATAAATTACAGCCATTCTGAAATATCCATGATAGAGGGCCTCTGTAATTCACTATGAACAAAGCCTCTCATGAATTTTTATACAGTTGCATGTAATCTCTCTCATAATGAAAGAAATAATGCAGTATGATGGGAGTTCTCTTCTCCAGAAGAAATAGTTGACAATATTAAAGTTATGCTTGCACTGGGAGAGGCAGAAACTATAAACAAATAATTTAAACAGAAAATTTCTTTTCGTGGTTAAATTTTTTCCCTTAAGAATAAGCATCAGTGCTAATTTCCAGGAGAATTTTAACTTCATGACAAGCCATGAAAATTAACTAGAAAGTCTGTCAGTGAGACCCTGGACATTCCTTTCATATGGACAGTATGTACATGTCTTTCAACTTTAATACAAATACTCTAATGGGGTACAACGGAAATCAAGTACTCTAAGAAACCAGATAGAATAAATTCAGTCACAAAAGGTACACATATGCTCTCTTATCTCAAAAAAACTTCTCAAGAAGACTACAGCCTTCAATAAAGACTACATCATAACACCAAGAAAAAGAACAGACCCCTGAACCAACAGGCAGCATTATGAAAAATGGAGAAAAGACTAAAGTTGCCAAGAATTTCATTTTATCTGGATCCACAATCAATAGGCATGGGAACAAATCAAGAAATCAAGAGAGGTACCGCATTGGGCAAATCTACTATAAAGGACATCTTTAATGTGCTAATGAGCAAGGATGTCAATTTAGAGACTAAGGTGTGATTGATCCATGCCATGAAATTTTCAGTTGCTTTGAATGAATGAGAATGTTGAACAACAAACAAGGATGACTGAAGATCTGCTGCCTTTGAGCTGTGGTGTTGGAGAAGAGTACTGACTGCTTCATGAACTACAAAAGAACCAAAAACTCTGTCTTGAAGGAAGTGCAACCAGGGTGCTCCTTAGAGGCAAGGGTGGTGAAACTTCACCTCACGTTCTCTGGCATGCTGTCAAGAGGGCTAGTCCCTGGAAAAAGAGATCACGCTGGGAAAGAGGAAGATCCTCAACAAGAGTAACGGACAGCGACTGCAACAACAAGTCTGAGCTGACAGAGATCATGACAACGGCTCGAGACAGGGCTAAAGCTGGTCAGATCTACTGTTTGCAGGGTCACTAGGAGCTGTGGCCGACTCCAGGGCATCCAACAACAATAACATGCTTTCTTTGCTCATGGTTTGGTTTCAAAAAAAGTGATTTCTTTGTAAATGTGAAGATTTTGTTTGATACACAAAGCGTAAATAAAGGACTCTAATTCATCTACTACTTCAGAGAGGAAAACAAAAAATAACCTCTACTATGAAATATAGTACTGTTTTTAAAAAATTTATAAGAAACCAATAAATACAGACATTGGAAAGGGCAAGTCAACTAATATGATTATAGTTTATGTCACTGAACTGTACATATGAAAATTACTGAAAAATTAAACATTTTCTTTCATATATATATTTACCATAATGGAGAACAAAGCATCATAAACTAATCACTAACACACTAATGAACATCTGACCTGCATCAAATTTCATGAAGTAAGTTGGCTTTTCAATCACAATGTCACAGTTCCCATCTTGTACAGGTCTGAAGTTGAGCTGAGTATAGCTCTGTAGTTCAGCAAACCTAGAAATAAAAATTGGGATATGCTTTCAAAGTGATTCTCCCAAACTTCTTACTGTATCTTTGCTCATTGGGCAGATTTAATTTCTAAACGCAAGCCATTCATACGGAGACACTTGTAACTCCACAAACTTATTGATACTTCTATAATTTGATATAAATTTTAACACTCTGGTGGCCTAGTGGCAAGAAGCTGCACTGCAATCCCAGAGGAACGCGGTTCAAATCCACCAGATGCTCTGCCAGAGAAGGAGGCACAATATCCTCCTGTACCAATCAGATCTGATTTGACGGTACACGCACACAAAAAAAAAAAAAAAAAAAAAAAAACTTAACAGTCATCACATCAGACCTAACTCCCAGCGGCCCCTCCAGAAGGTTTTCAAAGGCTTTAAATAACTTGCCTCCCAAGTTGATGCTAATGAATTCAAACTGCAAGAGAGGCACTGCCTTTGGGTCAGCCAGGCAACTCCCTGTGGACTACACCACCAGAGCTCCCCAGGTTGAAATAAAGATAAAAGTTACTTTAAAATAGAGTCTAATGTACAAGATGGTCAAGCTTTCTAGACAATGAAGTTACAATGTTGCTGTTGCTATGTACCCTTGAATCAGAACCCATTCAGAGCTGCCTCTTTGGTGGGTTTTCAGAAGCTGTATGTCACAGGAGAGGAGACTGTTCATCTTTCTCTTGAAATAGCAAAATAACCTACTAGTAAAGCAGGAAGGGAGTTCCTGGTGGCTGTTATGTGCTCAGCAGTTAACCAAAAAGGAAGGTGAGTCTGCTCAGAGGAAATTCAGCGGGCTTGGCACCAGCAGAGGTGGGCACAGTCTTCCCCCTGTTACACTGACGGGTTCACTGCTACGTAGTCAACACTGTACTTTTCCACAAGTTATATACCCCAACAGATGTGCATAAAAATGTGCTATCTCCAAATGGATGCAACAAGAAGCTAAAAATTCATTTGGAATGGATATTGTTAACTTTTACTAACAACACTATATATATACTGCTTCCTAGTTTTTTGGTTTTTTTAAGAAGAGCAACCAGGAGAAGATAAAACAGATGAATGGGACCTTCTAATAATCAAATCCCTATGCACATCCAAAAACTTCTCCAAAAGGGAGAAACAGGCTTCAAAAAGGGAAGCCACAGACTGGGAAAAAGTATTTGGTAATGGCATGTCAGATAAGGGACTTATATCTAGAATTTAAAAAATACTTGAGCACCACAAGATAAAAGTAAATAACCCAATTGAAAAATGGGCACAGGATATGAACAGACACTTCACCGAAGAAGACATTCAGATGGCTAACAAACACATGAAGAAATGTTCAAAATCCCTAGCTCTAAAACAAATGCAAATCAAAACAACTATGAGATATCTCACTCCAGTCAGAGTAGCAAAATTTAACAGAACAGCAAGTAACAAATGCTGGTGAGGTTGTGGAGAAACTGGAACCCTTATTCATTGTTGGTGGAAACGTAAAATGGTACAACCATTGTGGAAGGCGGTATGGTGCTTTCTCAAAAAGTTGCAAATAGAGATACCATTTGACCCAGCAATTCCACTACTGGGAATATACCCCAAAGAGACCATAATTGCCACCCAGGCAGATATATGCACACCCATGTTTATCGCACCTTTGTTCACAAAGCAAGGAGTTGGAAACAACTCAAGTGCCCATCAACAAAAGAATGGATAGAGAAGTTATGGTATATTCACACAATGGAATACTATACTGCATTGAAAAACAAGGAACTCATGCAATATTATTCAAAATGGGTGACCTTGGAAGACATTATGCTGAATGAAATATCTCAGTCACAAAAGGACAAATACTGCATGCTGCCACTGTTGTAAAATAAGACTGACATCAGGGTTCGGGGGAGACTGAGAAAGATGGGTTCAATAATGTATACTGCATTGAAACAGATGAGGGAGAAAACTGTTTAAAAGGGGTATGTGAGTAGGTATTTTTGTCATGACAGAAGTCCAGAGCGAAGGCTGCACAGTGGAGTGGACCTGGTGGGAGGGATTGTAAAACAATGAAATAATTTTTCTTTTACTTTTCCAAGAGGGGCATGTACTGGGGAGGAGTGTTGGGAGGGGAGAAAAGGGCAACAATGAATGTATGGAAATCCAAAGTCTCTGTAAATTTTTAAAGAAATTAATAATAATTTTTTTTTAAAAAAAAGAAGAGTGTCTGGCAGCCTAGGCCATTGGTCATGGGCCCATTCACCCAAAGGCTGCGCCCTGCTACCCGCTCAGGTCAACCAGTTGCTTCTCAGGAGAACGCAGGACAATCTCCTCCTCTGGTTTACATCCTCAGGAACTCCAGAGAGGGTAAACTGTGGGTCTGTTCCAACTTGACAGTAAGGGTGAGGATATTTTAGGAATATAGTTTAATTCAGATTAAACTGACAGATTCACTCTGGAGCCTCTGTTCTCCAGAAGCTCATACAAATTACCTACAAACTGAAGTAAAATGCTTTCCAATTGACAGTCCCCAGCAAAATCGGAAATTACCAAAAATGAATAAAATATTTTAGGAACATGTTAAAAACAAAACAAAACAAAACAAAAATCTTACCAAGACTGCAGAGGGCTTTTACGCTGACCTTCAGACAACAATGCGTGAGCGTTGAGTTTACAGTGCCCTCCAACTTCACCATTCTGTAAGAAGTCCTCCCTAAATCTGGTACAAAGAAAGAAAGGAAGAAAACATTTTGATGACTCAAGCACATGAGCTAATTTCCAAAATCAATTTCCATTAAGATGTACATTTTACAAAAACTTCAAATGATTACAAAAGTAGCAAAATGGAACTTGAAGGACTTGGCTCAGCTCTGCTGAGACCAGCTGGGGGTCCATGGGGTTCAACCATCCCACTTCCATGTTTCATTCTGCTTTTGTTGTTTTTTGTTTTTTTTTTTTTTTTACGTGTGTACCGTCAAATCGGATCTGACTGGTACAGGAGGCGATTGTTCCTCCTTCTTCAGCTCATTCTGCTTTTAAAATAAAAGCTCATCCTATAATTAGTGGTACACAGCAAAATAGTTCCCTAGTCAAAAATGTCACCACCTACTAACACAGTTCACACTGGTGACATTCACCACATTGTATCAATATTCTCATTTGTCCTGTTCTCCTTGTTCTGTTCCCATTAACAAGCCCCAAATCTTCTCATGCTTTAAAGTCTTTGTTAATCAACTGGTCTCATACACTCTTTAAAAAAAAATCAGAATATGCCAGCCATGAATTCTACAATTATGGGTTAATCTGCTGTGTAGCTGAAAGGTGGCTGAGGGCACAGCTCCAGCTTCAGGCTTCAAGAGCATCTCAAGTTAATGGACTCAAGGATTCCTTCTATCTACTTCAGTGGGTCAAGTAAGCACAGATTTTTATAAAATGAGAAGTTATATTCCATTCTCCCCCTTCTGTCAGGGTCCACCCATCATGGTCCTGATGGAAGAACAGTCCTGAGCTGTACCATCTAGTTCTCTCTCTGCTTTCATGTGACAAGTCATCCTGGTGCCTCCTCTGACATGAGTGTCTTTCTCTCTTTGACTCCACACACCAATATGTGTTTTAGATGGTTGCCTGTAAGTCTTAAGACCCCAGACGCTACTCAATTGATTTAAATGCAGAACATTAACTTTATGAACTATACTATGCCATTTGACTGAGTTGTCCTATGGCCTTCAAACCAAGAAAGCCTTCAAGATAATTCTGTGAAGTTATGTCTAATAAATAGCAGTTTCTATGACTCATATTTATTTCCTAGATATATCTATACATACACACACACACACAAACACACACACACACACACACACACACGGTTATTGTCGTGTGCCTGGTGGTTTAATAGTAAAGAGTCACACTGCCAAACCAAAAGCAGCTGGTGTGAATCCACCGGCTGTTACGCATGAGGAAGATAAGCAATTTTCTCCCATCCAACTTATAGCCTCTGAAAACCTGCTGTAGGGTCAGCTATGAGTTGATTCTGACTGGACAGCATGTAACTACAACACTATTGTTACATAATTACATATAACATTACTCATCCTCTAAAAACACACTGCCAAAAACCCAAACATATTGCCCTCAAGTTGTTTCCAATTCACTGCAACCATCCAGGGTCTCTGAGGTTGTAAACGTTTAGGAAAAGACTACCTGTCTTTCTCCTGTGAAAACAGCTGGCGAAATCAAATCGCCAACTTTTTGGTTAATAGTGCAGCTCCCAAGACCCTAACTATCAGAGCTTCTTCTATATAACATAGCATTTACCAGAACACCTTGTTTATGGCCACTTTTCCCATCACAACTCACCCTGAATAAAAATGCAAAATGCCCTGCTGCCTGAGAATTCTGAGTCCTCCATGCCCTCCCCAACCACAAAGAAGTAGAGCCCTGTGAACAAAGCCAGTAAGATGACATAGTGTTTGTCCTTTTGTGAGAGACTTATTTTGTTTCATGTAAGGTCCTCTAGGCTCACCTACATTCTAAATATTTGTGGACTCACTTCTCTTTATGGCTACATAGTACTCCACTGTACCTGTGTCCCTTGTTTCATTTACCCATTCACCCCTGGAGAATATACCTAGGAGTGGAAATGCCATATCAGAAGGCAGATATGGTTCTAATATATTTTCTACTGTCATTTAAAGCAAATCCAAGACCTATCACTGGTTCTGAAAATGCTTTAGGATTTCCCTTGGATTTCAACATCCACTATTTAAGTACCTGTCTTGATTTCTCTTGATGTTTCTTAAATCGAGGTAGAGATTGGTCGCTCTGCAATACTGAAGATAGCGGGAACAGACCAAGCTGGAGTCACCCTGAAGGACATCGAAAAAAAGGAGATCATGACTCTAAGTCATAGCACCATAAGGACTCACCCACACACCAGACGTGTGGCCAAAAAGTCCTCCTTGGGTTCAAACCACACAGCGTGAGAGAAGATGCTCAAAGACCCCACCTGTCTGAGCGTCTGACTCTTCCCAGCAATTGCTGGTCAACACACCTTTGCTAGTCTGTGTGGTTTTTGTTTACCATGAAGAATTTCTCAACAGTCTGTTATATCCAGGTGCACTGGGGGCACAATAGGTAAGCCATCAGCTGCTAACTGCAAGCAAGGCTGGCAGTTCAAATCCACCCAACAGTGTTTTAGAAGAAATGAGCTGGTGATCAGCTTCTGTAAAAGTTAAAGCCTTGGGAATCTCAGAAGGCAGTTTTGCATGATATATTGGAGTGTTAATCCTACATGTTGTTGGTTAAATCCATTAACCACTCTAAGCAGAAAAGAAGGGTAGTCCCCTCCCAGAGAGATTTAGAGCCTCAGAAACCTGATGGAAGGCTGCCGTGAGTGATATCCGCTTGAGGGTAGGAGGTCTGGCTTAGGTTTCTGTATCATCACAAAAAGCTCTGGTGGGAACCGAAAGGTCTGCAGTTCGAACCCACAAGCCACTTCAAAGAAACACATGGCAGTCTGCTCCTGAAAAAATTACAGCCTTGTAAACCCAAAGGGTCATTTCTACTCTGTCCTATGTGGTCACTGTAAGTCAGAATTCACTCCATCGCCCATAACAACTACAGACAGGTAAAGAAACATCAATCTCGATACAACTCTATGTTCCGTATTGGTTCTGTTTCTCGGGAACAGCCTCGCCTCTCAGGTTCTTCTCTGACCTTCTCTACACCAGCAGCCACACTCAGCTGACGCATGCCACATATAGCACAACTTCTATTTTCCGGTATGCTCAGTCTAGGCTGATACCATCTCTGGTGTTTACTGACCTTGCTATAATGGCTAAAAGTTCTATCATGTAACACTCTACAAAAACACTATAGACCCTCTAAATGATTTTTTAATACAAATAAAAATTTTTTTTCATTTTCCAAACTGCCTGAAGATAAGACCCTTGAGATGTCAACTACTCAGTCTTTCAGCTCACCAACTAGAGAATAGTGGGCCTGTCCTCTATAATGACTTACAACTCCATGTTGTTGTTGTTGTTATGTGCTGTCGAGTCGCTTGCGACTCATAGCGACACTATGTACAACAGCCCTAAACTCCGCTCTGTCCTGTGCCAATCGCACTGTCTCTGACACTCCTATCCCAATTATCCCAGTCACTGAATCAATCCACCTCATAGAGGGCCTTCCTCTCCTGCGTATGAGCCTTTAAAATTCCACTGAGCCCATTGCTGTGAGCAGGGCACCACACTGGGCACATGTAAATACAGTGTCACAGTGCAGCCTGCAGCCTTCAAACACAGGTAATGGCAGCACGAAAAGCTGAAGTGCTTGGTCAAGGTCATACAGCTGGTAAGCAGCAGCGCAAGACTTGAACCCTGAAGTCTAGACCTTACTTTCCTATGAACTATCCAAAGTACCTCTCAACCACTTGGTTGCCTTATCTACTCCTGTACAATGTAGCACTGTAGAATGTACACAGAAAAAAATCTGCACTTCAACATCTAATCCTACAGTGGCTGTGTGGTCTTGGAAAAGAAGGGGCACTACTTCTCTGAGGGCCCTGCCTTCCTCTCTAGTGAAGTAGATCAGTTCAATGCAATCACTAGACACTCAGCTGATATTTACAAACAGCTTTTTAACAGTTAATTGTGACATGCTAGCAAACATAAGGCCCTAAGACAGGACTGTATCACCTGTCCCAAACAAACTGAGAAGAAATGTTTAAAGACACAATATATGCATTTATCCTCTTCAGCATATACTGGGGGGGGGTAGATCTAAAGCTGAAAATACATTTTTTAAAAAGCCAGTTGCTGATGGATCAGCTCTAACTCCTGACGACCCAGTGTTACTGAGAGTGCTGTACACTGTAAGGTTTCAATGGCTGTGATCTTCTGGAAGTAGACACTTGCGCCCTCCTTCAGATGTCCCTCTGCATGGATTAGACTCTACAATACTTTAGTTAGCAGCTGAGTGTTTAACCATTTGCACCACCTACTGTTTCACCTATGTGTGAAAACAGGTTATAGTTTTCAAACAACACAGTATAACGTATTTTGGGAAGTTAAATGAACTTCAAAGCCAATAAATGAGCCTCGTGAGGGGTTTTGTTTAAAGTTCCATCTATCTGACTTTTATACCACAGTCACAAAGCAGCCCACGTTCAAGGCCCTAAAGCACCCACTGCCGCCTCAGGCTGGCACAGCGCACGCATCTCCTCCAGCCGCTCCCCAGCGTAGCCAAAGTCCGCCTGTTTCCAGAATATGTCCTGAGCCGATTCAAGAGTGTCCGTCCTACACAAAAGAAAGATTCCATGTTTTGTTTTACTTTGGACCTTGAATTTGCTTTCCAAAAGTTTGTCAAGTGGCTAGAAGTCTGTCATTACTTTGATTATTTTTAGAAGTCTACTATCTACTATCATGATCTTCCCCAAATGATCAGTAGCTATATGAAACCATCAAAATAAGTTATTCCTAAGTTTTATTCCCTCACAATAAAAAGGCACACCAGAAATTCATTAATATGGGATCATCTGGAACAAAAGAAAATACACTGTTCATTACTAGGACTGTCTTTGTCCCACTGACCATCTATTTATTGGAAGTATTAATTTTACTTAATTTTCCCCTTCAGAATTAAGAGAAAACTATCAATTTATCTTCTTTAGAGTGCTCTTCATAGTTTTTGTTAGTCCATGCTGATTTACAGTGGTCTCATATTTTTATCGTGAGTTTTCACCCCCTACCTCAGTGGGAAACAGTCAATGTGAATGCTTGACAGTGTAATAAAACTGCTATCTAAAGCAATTACTGTCTACGGCCATACCACCCTGAACACGCCCAATCTCGTCTAAAGCAATTACTACCTAAAACCAAAAGAACCCAGCTGAAAATCAGAACATTAACTACAGAGAAAGAAACCCTGAAGGGAGAGAAGGTATTCTTCACTGAAACTCACCATCCCATGTCGACATAGCGGCAAGCAGGGTAACCAAACCTGAAGGCTGATTTGCAGGATTTCTCATAACCCCAACAGTATTCCAGATTTGCTAAGTGCTTCTGGAACAGAAATACATTCATTCAGACATATTTCCCCTCCTCTGACATTTGACAACACCTTTGAGATTTTTCAGAGGAAAAACCCAAATCTTTTCTAGAACTCTCACCTTTATATTTTTTAACTTTTATTTTTTATAATTTTTTTTAATTACTTTTTATGTGTGTACTGTCAAATCGGATCTGACTGGCACAGGAGGAGATTGTCCCTCCGTCTTCAGCAGAGCATCTGGTGGATTCGAACCATACACCTCTGGGATTGCAGTGCAGCTTCTTGCCACTAGGCCACCAGAGCTCGCCTTTTTATAATGTTTTTAAAAATTGATTTGCTTACAAAGTTTATCTACATTGTGTTTCACATTATTCTTCATTCACATTGTGTTTCTTTTTTCTTTTTTTTTTTACTACAGGGACAGAGCATTACCAATTGTCCAAGATAACTTGGGGTGTCTGTACTTTCTCCTGAATGGAAATTAGGTTTGGACCAGAGTCTAGTGAGTGAGGTTATTAAATATTAGAATTTCATTTAATGCAGACTTAGGTGGTCAGCACTCTTTAAGAATATATGAGAAAGGGAGCTCTGGTGGCCTAGTGGCAAGAAGCTGCACTGAAATCTCAGAGGTACATGGTTCAAATCCACCAGATGTTCTGCTGGAGAAGGAGGGGCAATCTCCTCCTGTACCAGTCAAATGCAATTTGACGGTACACATGCAAAAAATAATAAATACATTTAAAAAAAGAAGAAGAATATATGAGAAAAAGTCTATTGAGTACTGCCCAGAAAAACTAATGTAGAAAACTGGGATTGTAACCACTTCTACAATGACAGGAATGATTTCTTCTTTGAAGGTAGGAAGTTGTAAGGATGATGAATAAATAAATGAACTGACATCAACTGTCAGATACAGAACTTTCGATTAGTTAATATTTCCCAACATTAACACATACACACATAAGGTTCAGGGATTCATTAACTCATTCTCATACATTGTTTAATAAAATCAATCACCATTGGACCTTGCCCATCATTACCCTGTCTTTTCATCCAGATCTTTCCCATTTGCTTTCCCACCTCTCTCCACCCACCAAACTGTGGAGTCCTGTGGTTTTACCTCTACCTATCCTCACTCCTTCACTGTGCCCCTCATCCTCCTTGAGTTCCTGTACATGTTTTACTAGTTATCCTTCTATTTTTACAGTAATGATCTTATGCAGTATTTGTCCTTATGAAACTGCATTAGTTCATCACTCACATAATGCACTCCTGCCTCTCCAAAATTATGTAGTACTTTTCAACAAAATTGTGCTCCCGAATGCTGCATAATATTCCATTGTGTGAATGTATCACAATTTCTCAATTCATTTGGCTGTCTGTGGTAAGACATCTGGGCTGTTTCTGTGTTCCTGTGATGGTGAATAACGCTGCTATGAACACTGGTGTAGAAATCTCCACTTGTGTCTCAGTTCTAATTTCCTTGGGGTATATTCCTCACAGTGGAATAGCTGGGTCATATGGAGTTTCTATGTTCAATGCCAAACTGTCTTCCAGAGTGGTTGCACCATCTTACAATCCTACCAACAGTGTATGAGAGTTCTCACGTCTCCACATCCTCTCCAACATATATTGCTTGCAGCCCTACTAATTCTTTTTATGATGTTATATAAGTATTTGGTAGTTGCCTTTTATTAGGTTGAGAATTTTTCTTTTGTTTCTGCTTTACTGAAGGGGCTCTGGTACCACGGTCTATAGGGCGTTGTGCTGCTAACTCACAGGCAGCACCTTTCTTTTTTTTATTGAGGTTTTAATGAAAAATTATAGAGAACTTGGATTTCCATTCATTCATTGTTGCACATTCTCCTTGTTGCCTACCCCTTCTACCAGTTAGCTTTTCATTTTGAAAAGAAAAAGAAAATTCTTTCATTATTATGCAATCCTCCCCCACCCCAGTCCACTTTACTATGCAGCTCTTATTTTTTACTCTAGTCATGCAAATAATACCTAATCATATATCCCTTGTAAATAGTTCTCTCCCTCATCTTTTTCAATGCAGTGTACTTTATTTATCCCTTCTTTTCTTAGTTTCCCCCAAACACAATGTCAGTCCTGTTTTATATCAGTGACATTGTGCAGTATTTGTCCTCTTGTGACTGAGATATTTCACTCAACATAATCTCTGAGTTCCTTGTTTTTCAATTCAGAATAGTAGTGTGAATATACCACAGTTTCTCTAACTTTTTGCTATTGTGAACAAAGCAGCAATACATATAGGTGGGCATATATCTACTTAGGTGGTAGTTCTGGTCTCTTTAGGGTATATTCCCAGTAGTGGAATTGCTGGGTCAAATGGTATTTCTAGTTCCAACTTTTTGAAAAAGCACCATACAGCCTTCCAGAGTGTTTGCACCACTTTACACTCCCACCAACAGTGAATAAGTGCTCCAGTTTTTCCACAATCTCGCCAGCATATGTTGTTTGGTGCTCTGTTAAATTTTGCTATTCTTACTGGAGTGAGATGATATCTCATAGTTGTTTTGATTTGCATCTCTCTTAGAGCTGGGGATATTGAACATTTTTTTCATGTGTTTGTTCGCCATCTGAATGTCTTCTTTGGTGAAGTGTCTGTTCATATCTTGTGCCCATTTTGTAATTGAGTTGTTTACCTTTATCTTGTTGTGGTATCACCTTTATATTTTACAGTGCCTGTTCATGTGCTGGAAAAAAGTGGTCTCAGCCTTACATACAATGGAACAGGACATACTTGCTTCTGCATCATCTACACAAGGGTTGGTGCAAGTCTAATGTTGTGGTCACCATGCACTTGACCAGGCAATGTTCTATTGTGTTACATAAGGTTTTCATTGACTGACTTTTAAAGGTGGATCACTAAGCCTTCCCTGCTAGTCTGTCTTACTTTGCAAAACTTCACAGAAACCTATGAATGTGCTATATTAGAAACCCTGGTGTCACCACTCCCAGCATCAGAGCAATATGCAAGCCCTCACAGTATGACAAACTGATAGATGGGCAGTAATGGGAGTAAAGAACTAAAATAAGAACAGTTCTAAGAACAGTGTCCCAAAGCAATTAAAAATGGTTCTCTTTACTCAGTCTCCTCACCATGTTTGTTCTCTAAACCAAAGGTTTAAACAAACAAACATCCAAATGCTGTGAAGCAGACTGTGATGCCACACGCTGACCTCATGTGTTACAGGAAACAGCTCCAGAGTTTTCTTGGCTCACAGACTGCCAGGCCTGTACTCTACAGAGTCAGGGGGTGAGTTTCAAACTGCCAACCTTAGGTCAGCAGCGAACAGTTTGTGTCCCAGGCCCCTAGAGTACCAGAGACCACAGGAATTAGACTATTGCAAAGCAACTAAATGAGCAACCTTAGTGAGCAACACATTCTACAGCCAGTCTCTAGAGTCCTATAAATGAGAATTTCCACAGCCAAACAGAATGAATCCACAACTGTGTTCGACAATCAAGATTCAGAGAGGCCCCAAATGTGTGGGCAAATGCATGGATGCTCCTCCCCTGGGGGACAGGAGACACTTTTGGCCTGGAAGCTGGGAGCATACTCTCTCTGTAAGGTCCTTGGGATCAATGCTGGTCAGCTTCCCAGATTAGCCTTCCCTTCGTTTCCCTGACAGCTCCATGGGAAAAGAAGTGCCCTGTAATACCCAGCTTTGATCTTTAAGGCCCTGTGAGATGTCTTAATGGGCTCCGTGTTTGGGCCTCTAAAACAAAATGAAGGTGGCAGTCATTATCTTAACTATGCTGAGGCATAGGCAGTTACAAAATCTATTGTCAGGAGACCCTCTGAAGTGCAGCTGAAAACAGTTGTGACAGCATCCACTTTTAACACTCACCCCTCCCCATCTTTCCGCATAAAACTCTAACTCTGCTCATTTGCCAAGGACAGAAATAACACTGGCTGCTACTGTTTCTTGAGAATCATGGAATCAGACTTCAAATTTCACTTTGAATGAATCAGACACCATCTCAAGCAAAGTTCAGTCGCTTGGGAGTATTTATTTCATGAAATGCATGAATCATAGTTACAATGGAAATAGAACATTTTAACCTTCAAGTTCAGATTATAAAACTGAACCAGGAAACTGTATCCTTCCAGAAATAAGTCAGAGGAGAAGAGAGAATCCTACCTTATAAGGGCAGTGCGGGTCTCTCTCACAGGCGGCGGCCACATGCCTGTTGTTGTGCAGAAAGAAGGGGAGGTGCTCCTCAGGGAGGCGGATACCGGCATAGTCATACAGAGCGTCCCCTGGGAGGTTGCCAGTCTGTGGGGTGGCCTCATCTTGGCCACTCAGGGGAACTTCATGAAGTAAGACCCCCAAGGCAAGCAGCATTAACATAGCAAGACCCAAACCTAGGGAGGAATGGAGAAAATCTTCACTGAGAAATTTCCCTTAAAAGTTCAAGAAAGCGGTCTTGCGCTAAGTTCTTAGAGTTGGAACTGACCCATAGCTGACCCTCCAGGAGGTTTTCAGAGGCAGTAAATATCCTGGAGGCGACTGCCTTCTTCCATGGAGCAGCTGGTGGTTTTAAATCACATACCTTTAGGTTGGCAGTGCAGCACCTTACCACAAGACCAAAAGAGTTCCCTTGGACTAAGCCTAAGTAAAGCAAACTTTGACATCTCACTAAGCATTGTACCTTCATTCAACAAACATTTTCTTGTATATTGACAATGTATAGCCTAGCACTGTGCTATGCACGGGTATAGATAGATAGGTGAATAAGAAAAGATCCCTGCTCTCATGGAGTATGGAGCTGAGTACAAGGAAAAGAAAGCAATCAATTTAACAACTTCAGAAGATGTGAATCAACAGAAAAGGCTCTAGCACATTTTCCTGTAAAGGGTCAGAGAATATATTTTTTTTTAATAAACATCTTTTTAGGAATGTAAAAGGAGTGCTGGTGGTGCAGTATGTACAGCATTCTGTGTTGTTAATCAAAACGTGGGTCATTCAAGTCTACCAGTTGCTCCATGGAATAAAGACAAAATAATATCTCAGTAAGGAGATCTGACTACAGTAAAAGACTTTCTCTACAAAAATGAGTAGTGAGGGTGGAAGCAGAGGGACGTGGATGTGTGGGGAGGGGGGAATTAACCATGGGATTACACAATTTGATGGGTACGGGGGAAGGAAATTGGAAGAATCTGGTCTGAAAAACAATGTATTCCAATTTTGTAAATAAACTAGTATAATATTTTTTTAAAAAAATGGGTAAGGAGTCTACTTGACTCCATTTGGACATGCCTGAAATAAAGGTGATAAAATAGAGAACCAAATATGGTGGTTAAGAACAGAGACTTTGGCGAGCTCTGGTGGCCTAGTGGCAGGAAACTGCACTACAATCCCAGAGGTGTGCGGTTCAAATCCACCAGATGCTTTGCTGAAGAAGGAGGAACAATAACCTCCTGTACCAACCAGTCAGATCCAATTTGATGGTACACAGCAAGAAAAAAATAAATAAAACTTAAAAAAAAAAAAAAGAACACAGACTTTAACATCAGGCCTGGGGCAGAGTTTGAATCCTTGAGAGCAAATTATTTGATCCATCTATGATCCAGATTTCCCATCTATAAAACTGAAATAACAAGAAAATCTTCCCTATAGGACTGGTATGAATTAAATACGATAAATATTAGTGAAGTATTTAGGAAAGCACCTAGTGACATGATGGGAATCACCATTTATTGAAGTATTGGAAGATAAACACAGCATTGATAAAGAAAAGAAAGTGCAAATGGCCTGGAATATGTGTTTATGTAACTGAAAAACCGAATTCAATAAAATCTGAGCACATGCTATGTGCCAGAGTCTTTTCTACACACCGAGGATACAACAGTGAGGATGTGGCACTGGGCAAAACTTCTTACCCTTGGAAATCTCATATTCTGGTGTGTATAAGAACAATCTATGATAATAATCATCAGTAGAAACCCTTTACCTTCTCCCTTACCCTGCCTTAAGATTGAAGATTGTGAAAGATATACTGGCATAAACTTGATTGCATTTCTAATTCATTCTGAAAGGATTATTTATCATCTCAAGCCAGATTTTTCTATTGCTAGGAGAACATTTCAGAAAATAATCAGGCCATTGAAGACTTGGCATTCAACTGCCCAAAAATCATCAGCCCAAACAGTGCCGTGATGATACACATAGGGTTGTAGGAGTTGGAGGCCTGGCATGGCCTGTTGTAGTATCTGAGGAAAAAAGAAAGGCACTCTTCCCACAGAACCACAGGGCGAACGACATCTCAAGATTCTTTCCAGCAATCTGTTGTTCCTGGGGGAGCAGACTAGATGCTCTCACAATCAGCATTCACTGATCATGGGCAATGAAAGTAGATCCTTTATAAACAAACTGTTACATTCAAGGTATCCCTTTCTCCTCAGGAGTAGTAAATACAGTGGGGTTTTTTTTCTCTTAGGTGGCTCTAAAGAGTATGTTTAGAATATATTATATATGCTAAAGAACAGGTTCTGGTGGCTTAGTGTTAAGGAGCTGTACTGTACACCCAAAAGCATACAGTTCAAATCTACCAGACTCTCTGCAGCAGAAAGATGGACAACCTTGTGCAGTGCAATTTACTCCTTCTGGAAGCCAGAGAATGAAAGGAGGGTCAGCAATAAGGTGATTCTGACTTTAGGGCAGATAACAACAGCAACAAAGAACATGCTTACACACACTCTGATGGTGCGCTCTGTAGGAAGTCTGCGCGACTAACCCAAAGGTGGCGCTCTCTAGCACTCTGCATCTACCATCACCTCCTCAAGAGGAAAATGGGTAATCTGCCCCCAAGCGGTTTACAGTCTCCAAAACCCCATTAGAGAGTCAGCTCCAACTTGATGGTAGCCACAAAGAACAAGCTGAGGGCACTCTGGGGGACGAGTCCACAGGGAGCCGCTGTGCTAACCTCTCTGACTTCAAATTCTCCAGTCGCTCGACCAGTCTTCTCACTCTCTGGAGGTGAGTAAAAGTTTAAAGAACATGTAAAACCAATCAGGATTATATATTTTAGGTATGACTTTTATCCAACAGTAAGATGATACCAGCAGCCAGGAAATCAAAAGATGAATCGCACTGGGAAGTCTGCTGTCAGGGACCTCTCCAAAGTACTGAAGAGCAAGGATGTCAGTCTGGAGACTAAGGTACACCTGATCCAAGCCATGATCTTTGTAATTCCTCGCTATCTGTGTCAGAAAGCTGGACAGTGACTAGGGATGATAGAAGAATTGATGCCTTTGAGCTGTGGTGCTGGAGACAAGTATTGAATATACCATGGACTCCTAAGAAAACACACAGGTTCAACCTAGAGAGGGTGAAACCAGACTGCTCCTTGGAGGCAAAGATTCTGAAGCTTCAGCTGACATATTTTGGGCATGTTGCCAGGAAGGACCAGTCCTTGGAGAGGGACATCAAGCTTGGAAGGGTGGAGAGACACTGCAAGCGAGAAGACCCTTGATGAGATAGTTTGATTCAGTGACTGGGTAGTAGGGGTAGGTGTGTCAGAGACAATAAGATTGGCTCAGTATAGAGCAGGGTTCAGAACTGTTGTACATAGGGTCATTATGAGCTGCAAGCAACTCCACAGCACATAACAACAACAAGTTGATAGGAATGTTACAAATATTAAAAATGCATGTTAATTACAACAGTGGCTTTACTGATAATAAAAATAGCTACCTCTTTAGGACACTTATACAACATTAATTAAGTCATAAGTAAAACGTTGCACTGTTCAAAATCAGGAAAGGAGTGCATCAGTCCTGTCTTCAAAACTTTTCAATCTATATGCAGAACAGATCATTCGAGAGGTTAGGCTTTATGCAGAGGAATGGACCATCCAGATTGGAGACTCAACAACCTATGTTATGCAGATGATATATAACCTTGCTTGCTGAAACTGAGAAGGATCGGAAGTGCTTGCTGCATGCAGAAGGTCAATGACTAGAGTCTTCTATACAGATTGAAACTCAACATAAAAAAGACAAAGATCCTCACCACTCGGCCAACTGGCAGCACCATGGTAGATAGAGAAGAGATTGAGGTTGTAAACAATTACAGCTTGCTTGGCTCCACAATCTACACTCTTGGCACCAGCAGTCAGGAAATCAAAAGATTAATTGCACTGGGAAAATATGCTGTCAGGGACCTTTCCAGAGTACTGAGAAGCAGTGATGTCAGTCTAGAGACTCAAGTGTGCCTGATCCAGGCTATGGTCTTTGTAATTACTTGGTCTGCATCAGAGAGCTGGAAAATTACTAAGGATGACAGAAGAATGACATCTTTGAGTTGTGGTGCTGGAGAAGTCTTGGACCGCTAAGATCACAAATCAGTCTAGCCTGGAGAGGATGAAGCCAACCTTCTCTTTCAAGGCTAGGATTTTGAAGCTCTGTCTCACATACTTTGGGCATGTGAAGGGTAGAGGGACAGCGCAGACCCTAGATTGATACAGTAACTGGGGTAATGGGGGTAAGTGTGTCAGAGTCAGTGAGACTGGCTCATGATAAGGCAGGCTTCAGAGCTCTTTTACATTGGGTTGCTCGATGGCCCATAATAACATTAATTATCATCGTCTATGTCTTTAATCCTCAGTCACCCAGAAGCTGCTGTGATGTTTCAGTTACATTAAATCTGTCAGATGTGAAATATATCACCTTGAAGTGATAAAGCTGGCTCTATAATGTAGGCGATACTGGAATTAAAGGAAACAGTAACACATGGAATAGTTTACTAGCAGAACCTTTAAGCATAGGGCTTAGCCTATAGTTGGTACTCATCAGTGGTACCTATCTGTGTCTCCTTAAGGAATACAAACAGATACTTTAGCCAATGCTGACATACCATGGCCAGAGCGCCATAGTAGAACTGTGCTGTGGAGAATTTCAAAGGCCAGTTTGTCAACCATACACCACCAGGCCTTTCCTCTGAGGCACTTCTGGCTATATCCTGGAAGGACTTCCACCTTTCAGATAGTAGATGAAAAAAAAAAACACAAAAAAACAGATAGTAGATGAGAGCTCTAGACTGCTGGAAGACTGTTTCATATTTGCAAACACAACCCTTAGAATAGGGTTAGATTAGTTAAGAGACCAGATTGTGATGATTCACAGGAGGGACCTGGAAACCATCCATTAACAGGCATCAACAGACAGACACAGGGCAACGGCATACTTAGCAGAAATAACTTTCCTACGAGCAAACCATCTTCCCTGAGTTATTCTACTCGCTGGATCACAATGCTCGGAGCTTCCTGGCTATGCTTGAGGCTCCAAAGGCCATTTATCAAATCACCTTCCCAGTGGAACAGTCACCGTTAGAAGCAAGTCTAGACCTTA